TCGTACAAGTACAACATGTAAATAAAAGAAATACTTTGAAAATAGTCTACAAACACTTTAAAGTTACTCTAGCCTCTCTGGATGACATTGTCAAAAAAAATTGCTGGTTTCTTTGTTTAGTTTTAAAATGTAAAAGAGAACTCAGACCACATAGTAGGTAGTGAAGAACGCGAAGCAATTTTTAAATTCATGAGCAAAGAGAAAACCTTTGCTAGTTAAAATTAAAATTTATAACTTTATATGATTGATTTCGGAAGTTTATTAGTTGAATTCTATTGTACTCCTCGCATTTTACATGGTTCCAAATTTAAATATTAAAAAACTTTATTTACAATGTAACTTGGTTCAAATTCATAAAACTAAAAATATATTAATAGTGTTTTTATTTTCCTAGAAAGGGTAAAATAAAATTTGTTTTATATTACTGATGGCAAGAAAAGCCAAAACTGAGCATAGAAAAATATTTTACTAACATTTCGATTCCTTGTCAGAAATCATCCGCACAATACAAAAAATGACTTTAATACAAATTAACGTTTCAGCTACATCTCAATATGGATACCACATACGGAATAAAGCAATTCTTGGCCCTGTTTTTGGAAAAGCCAGAAAAACGCTAGTACCGGTTTAATTTGAACGACTCTTATTTTAAATTAAAATTTAAATGTACCCTGCATTCTCAGTTACAGAAATATTTTTCTTTAATTGGTTTATGTGGTATATTTTGTGAATTCGACTTAATTACCCGATATCAAAAATCGTACTTGACATCTTAAGTGAATAGACGGTAGTGAAAAGTATTTTTTCTACACTCACATACTCACATAGATATTAGCTTATCTACGCACAGATTACAAAACGAAAAAGTATGCTATTGCCTTCAACTGAAGGAATATATTTCATATCTATTCTAGGTAGTGAGAACACTGCAAAAAAACTAAATCCATCAATCACCGTTCATATTTTGATCAACCGACTGCTATTATTTTTAAAATTTTAAATAAGTGACAATTCTGTCAAACTAATTGTCAGTATATTTTTTAGTTATTGAGATTAAACATACATTTAAATGGGAAAGAATTTGTTAATTTAAAAAACTATATGAAGCCAATTTAATTACGAGTATTAAAGCAATAAAAATAAAAGAATAAGTGGTCCTGCGGTTGACGTTTTTGCCTTCCAAACGGAAGATTGGAATTTGATTCTCGGATAGGGAAAAATGAAATGAACTTGTTTCTTTTTTTATTTATTTTATTTTAAAAATTATTAAAAATCATAAATTATTTTAAAATTAGTTACTTTGTCTTAATAAACTAAAATATATTTTTTTAAATTTAAAAAAAATTTTGTTGATGAGTTGTATAAAAAATATACTGTACAACTCGAATGGATTGTCCACATTGCGTGTTCAGACGATTGAACACTCCGCCTACAGCGTTGTGCTCAAATATCGTCTTCGTGCGATATGACCATCATATGTTGCACAAACTACTATTTTTAAATTTTATTATTTTCTCTGTCCAGTTCATTGAATGTTAATTTTACGGCTTTTTATGTTATGAAACATTATTATTTAAAATATAAAATGTACGCACCTCTTAGACATTGAAAACAGTAAAATTAAAAAAATATATATATTTTAAAAATATAAATTTTAAAATAACTAACTTTCACACCACGTGCACTTTATATTTCAAATACCTATAACATATTTAAGATATTAATTTGTCTAGAAATATTCATAAATATAAAAATCTACAATGTAATTAATTTAACAAATTATCTACTTATCAATTCAAGTATATGATTCATCTAATAATACATTTAATTAAAGAATAAAAATGGACCTTTTCAGGCATTTTTAATAATAATTTTTCAATTGTATCTAAAAAATTTTAAGCAATGTGGGGGTTTGATTTCAATTGTAAAATGTAACTATTATTCTAGAACACATCTAAAAAATATATACTCATTGAAGATTTATTTCCAACTCACAAATTGATGAATTTAAAAACCTTTACTGATGGGTGAAGGGTTTAAGAGAAATGAGATGCGTCATATTGTTAACCCATAGTTAAAAGCTAGGAGATCCGAAAATTTTTAAAGACACTCTGTTAATCAAGCGAACAGAGAGATCTTAATTCGAAAGTGTTAAAATCACGTTGAAGGCACTGAGAGCAATAGTCTCTAGATGTAAAGTCAAAATATAATCAACCTCAAATATATTGTGTATACTTGGTCCTCACAACCAATGCAAACTTTAAAATATACACACGAAGTGTATAGATGTGGGCGCCCCCTTCCGGTGTGTTATAAGAACCTCATCCACTTGACACATTAGTTATGGGGACCAAAAATTTTAATAATGATATAGGTACCATTTGACTCCAAAAACGACGTAGATTATGAAAATCAGGTTAATTTCTTATAGGTACCGGTTTGATGTCCCAACAAGAAAAACGGTCCTCGCAACCATAAGCGTTTTTCGGAAAATGTCCCCATAAGCCCTCAAAAGTCCACACACACACACACACACACACACACACACACACACACACACACACACACACACACACACACACACACACACACACACACACACACACACACACACACACACAGACACACAGACACACAGACACACAGACACACAGACACACAGACACACACACACACACAGACATCATCGCGAAAATAGTCAAAACGGATTCAGGGGATCTCAAAACGTAAAAATCCGTCGAAAACTCGAGGTCGAAAAAAATCATGATTCCTATACTTTCCTTATATCTGTATACAGATAGGAAAGTAAAAAGGAGCAGATTGAATATCACAGAAAGGGGAGATTTATGGTTATTCCTTACAAAACTCAAGCCAAATATTGATAATTTGCTGTCAATCCATCAAGTACATCCCTCTCATTAAAATTACATTTTTTTTTAATTACCTTTGTAGAAATTACATTTATAACGAAAAAAGTGTTTAATTTTAATTATATTACAGTAGCAATTCTGTAATTCAATACGTTTATTTTTAACGGGTGTTAAATTTTACGATTTTAACATAAATTGTAATTCTGTAAAAATAAAATTAACGCATGCGTTAAATTTACAGAAAAAATAAACATACGTTAAAAGTAGTTCAAATTTGCCATAAAAGTTTGGTTAAGTTTTATAGTCTGTCAAATAAATGTCATTCCTCTTGTCATATTTATTGTATCTGTCTGTTTTTGCACAAGAATATTGAAAAATGTAGCGGCCGAATGTACTTTATAAACTATTTGGTAGGCCATTAATTTTCAATAGAAAGAAATTACCCCAATAACCTTATAAATAGTACCTTTCTACGGCAAATCAATTACTAACTACAAATAATTTATGTACACTGTAAATAAAATATAATTTCTAAATAGAATTTGTGTAGTTTCAACTGTTAAAATTACTTGAGTACTTACAAAATGGTTCATTTCATGATTTTCTTGCAATATGAGTTGAATTAAACAATTAAAAGTCATAATTTCTCATATGTTAAGTTTTAAAGCCTACTAATTAGTACATGTTAATGTCCTCGATTTAACGCATACAATTAACACTACAAGGAAATATACTATATTTCGTTTTACCACTCCGAATGGGACGTTTTCTAAATAAAATTTGTAAGAATTGATTGGTTCTTGTGCTGTGAGTCACTGTAGATTTCAAAAAAGTAAAGTAAGTAAAGATGGAGTCACTTTTTAGTTTGGCCAACTTTGCTTTTTTGACATCCACTCACAGCACTATCAATTAAAATTTATTTGAAAATTTGTTTAGTCGACTTTATTATCAAATAATTAACCCTATCAAGCAATCAATTCTAACCTTTTTTTTTTTCGAAAACTGTTAATTTGTCGTTAAAACTCAGCGACAACGCAAGTTTCCATAGATAGATATAATCTTCACTTTTATTTTCGAGATTTAGAAATTGGTAGTGATGTCCACCGGATCCAGCAAAATTTTTGAAAGTGGTCTATGAAACAAAAGAGTTTGGGAACCTTTGGTTTAAATTGTATTTAAAAATTTATTTTGCAAAGCGCTTTCTGCCTTATTTACAATAAAATTGTGATTGTGTAGAGGAAAAATTTTATTTAATGATTAATCAAGCTTTTTAATTTTTAACCTAAGTTAATTGTTATTAACAAAGTGAAAAATAACAATTTTTTAATTTTTCTAACGGGAATCTCTTATGAGACTGTTCAAAAATGGCTACAAAACGAAAAAATCTCAGATTTGTTATTTAACAATTATCGCACTTGCAATGTTAATGTTCAAGTAGGAAAAAATTATTAATTAACTAATGCATAATTAATAGAAAAATCGCGACTTTTTTTGGGGAAATTTCCTCTTCTTTTTAAATCATTTTTCAAATTTGGAAAATGTCAAATAGTTTTTGAGAAATTTTTAAAACCCCATCCAATTTTTTATAACTTTTGCAATTCTTGTAAGGGGCTTTTAAATGTTTTCAAAAGTTTTCAAAAATCATCTACACGCTATTCCGAATCGAATGACACCTCGTTCATATTTTTCGGAGGCGGAGAAAAAAGTTTGAGCCAAAAAGCACTTGTTAACTAGACTATAAGTGGTAGTCTTGGAAAAAGCACCAGCGCGCGTGCAAAGATGACTTTAATAAATCGGACCAGGAAAAAAAATATATATATATAGGTGGGCTCTTCTTCCTCCTGAACCGGTAGGCTCTGCAGGTCCCAATCCGAAACTGCCTATGCTAATGGTGCCTAGCATCTACAACATTTTTTGGTAATTTTTAATCAAAAGAACAATTCGCTACTTGCTATTAAATTTGAGCCAAATTTGATAGAAATTGAGTCATAAAACAATGACAAATAATTATTTACTTAAGTTTGTCATAAAATTTATTATTTTCAGTACAAGGAATATTGCATTATAATTTTTCATGAGCTAAAACAGAATCTTATCTTCAAAGATAAAATTATTATCTATATTGACTCACCTCATTTCATTAGCAGCAGGTGAAAATACGTTATTGTTGTAAAAAATTTCAAAGTTTAAGGTGAAAAGACCATATATTTTTGAAAAATGACGAGTATAGAAACAGTTGGAACTATTGTTCTTAAATTACTGAAATTGGTAAGTTAAAATTCCATATAAATTTAATGTTATTGTATTGAGATCTTATTGATAAGTACATAAGGTATACAGAAAAGTAGGGCGGATACCTATTTTTTGATCTGATATAAACAGCATAATGTATATACTATTAAAACAGTTAATTGGCAACCCAATAAGTAATAATTGTAAATTTTATCAGTGAAAGACGAAAGGTCAAAAAGTTAATAATTTTGAAAACATAAAATTGTTTTGTCATTACTTTTGTTTTATTTATTAAAAATTGCCTCGGGATTAAAATCAAGGATAAACTTATTTTGTGTTAAACTGTTTGTCGAGTTCTTCCAAAATATGTTAAAACATTTATGGAGAAAGAAAAATAAGTATTTATGTTATGTTGAGAATGGGGTGTTAATACACTGCGACCTAAAAGATCTATTGTGCCCCCTTCTGTCGCCACTGCACTAAGGAAATGTCTCAATGCCAATAGCGACCCTTCCAATCCTATTTTCTCAAAATAAGTATTTACTCATCATTTCATTAATAGCAGGTGAAAATACATTATTCTATTAAACATTTCAAAGTATACGGTGAAAAGAGCATATTTAAAAAAAAAAATATGAAAATAGAAACACTTGGAACTATTCTTCTTAAATTATTGAAATTGGTAAGTTGAAATTTCTTATAAATTTGGTATTATTATAATATTAATAAGTTGATAAAGTATTTACAAATGTCCTAGTCCGTATTTTTTATTTTTGTCATTGATTTTGACATAAAAGTTTATATATTTTATTTGTTTGAATATTTAGGCTTTAAACAACTTGTTTAGCTCAATTTAACGTTATCACTAATGCACCGCATTCAGCGATTTACCGCTGTTTCTTTCCTTAGTAGGTAATTAGCTTCGAGCATATATTACTAGAGCCATCGTCCAAATGGACTTTGTTTTGGTACAGGGGGAAAAATAGTGTCCAGCATTCCCATTGGTCTGTTTCGTTTTGCTTGACATGTCAAATCGTTCGAAATTGTCAGAACTGTCATTTAATTTTTGATTTTAATTAATTTCTAGCTTATTTTTGTAGTTTATAAGTGATTTTTTGTATTTTATTTCTTTAGTGATACAAATTTTAACAATGATGAGAGTTTGTGTAAGTTTTAAAAAATAGAAATACGAAAAGGCATCGTCAAGGTCATTTCACAAGTAAGTAACCATTAGCGTCTCTACCATTTTTTTAAAAGAAACATAATTACCTACATTTTATGCAAAAGGCCGTTAAATATGAATTTAAAATAAATGGTAAATTTAGTGAATGAAACTTAAAGAACTTGTATTATGGTCCAACTAGATTAATTCCAGGTACATTGCCATCAGGACTTACTGATGCCCCAGAAGAAGATGAAACTAAAAGGTAAAGAACCCTGCACTTGTGGGTTAATTGTTCAAAAATTTTTAATTTTTCAGTGATGATTTGAACCATGAAGCATCTGTTGCAAAAAAAGAAAATGCAGAATTAGAAAGCATATAAGTAACTAAGTACTTTTTAATACAACAAATTTTATTTTCAAATACTTACCTATTACTAACTATATTTTTTATAAACCACAAAAATTCACATGTCAAATCATTCGAAATTGTCAGAACTGTCATTTAATTTTTGATTTTAATTAATTTCTAGCTTATTTTTGTAGTTTATAAGTGATTTTTTGTATTTTATTTCTTTAGTGATACAAATTTTAACAATGATGAGAGTTTGTGTAAGTTTTAAAAAATAGAAATACGAAAAGGCACCGTCAAGGTCATTTCACAAGTAAGTAACCATTAGCGTCTCTACCATTTTTTTTTAAAGAAACATAATTACCTACATTTTATGCAAAAGGCCGTTAAATATAGGAACCGTGCGTCATGACTTTAACGCCAACTGGTGACAAAAATGTGAACTTTATGGGGGGATTTGTTAATGTTTTATACGGGATTAATTGTTTAGTAATTATTAATTAAATAAAGTCGAATTATTTTCGTAATATCATTATCGAAAAAAACTTGTTGCATTCGTGGATGTACAAAGACATCACTTTGGAAACCTGGATTTGATTCGATAGTAGAGAAATTTTATTAATTTCCACAAAGCACAGTAAATGTCTCACACCCAATGATATACATAATTACATATATTGCTTATCCATACGTAAATCAGACGACGAAAAGCGTATTTCATTGGGCAAACTTTTCTTTTTATATATAATCAATTTTGTGCACTTAATTGTAAACAAATCATTTACAGAACCGATTTAGAAATTAGAGTCTTTAGTGTTTTCTTGTCATTAAGATTTTTACATATTTAAATAAACATTTTATATAAATATAATTTTACAGATAATTAATGGTTTATTCTGTTAATTAAAATTAATGAAGAATGTTACTGTGAAATTAGAATGTCCAATTTGACAAAAATATCACGGCCCTCTTTACCATTTATTAACTATTTCTCATTTATCATTAAAATAAACAAATCATAATTAATATATTTTAATTACTGTCAAGAGATTGCAACAAACTTTAAGATATTAAAAATCCACTGATTTTTTGTAAATTTTTTTAGTAACCTATCATTACATAAACATTACTCAGAATAATAGATAAGTGTCCAATTACCAACTCTTAACAAAGGTATTTATTATCTCATATCAAAGTTGTTTACATTAAATTTAAAAGTTGTATTACATATTGAAATGATGTGTCTCATATAGTGTTATTTCTGAAATTAGAGTGGTCTAAAATTATTTACATTCATCTGTTATAAAAATTGTTTAGATCTCTTAATATTATTTAACTACACGAAAACTCAACTTTCAAAATACATAATAACGTGTCTTGAAGTAAAACTTTAATTATTTTTTTCTTCTAAATATTAAAATGCTAAATTTTATTTTAAAACACATTTGGGCTAGAACGGCACTTGGAAAGGCAATACATCAATACGCTTTTCGTAATATTTTTTATAGGTGATGAGGAATCTATATAATTATGTATACATTGGGTGTCTCATAAACGTCAAAGTGGTTGAATGACATTTCGACTGACAGCTAAAAATAATTATTATTCTCAATCTTTTTTTATTAATTTTCATTTTTTAAATGTTATTGTAATACTTAAATTGAGTGTTACTAAATACCGATATTTTGACATTGGATACACTTGCTTAAGGTACAACTTTACAATTTATTGTCACTTAGCCATTTAAATTTTTTTGTTCAAAATATATATACATGTCCAGATTTTAATAATTTTTCACATTTCATATCATTTTGACCATGTATATGATTGTTTGTTACGGGCCGGTATCTATATTTAACTATATTTAATATTTTAAAAAATATTCTGTATTAATTACCTGCAATGTTTACCCCAATTAATTCTAAAATTAAACACTAGAGAGGGCTACCTTCGGCAGTAGTGCTGCCTCTATATTTCACGCACGGTCCCTATGAATTTAAAATAAATGGTAAATTTAGTGAATTAAACTTAAAGAACTTGTATTATGTTCCAACTAGATTAATTCCAGGTGCATTGCCATCAGGACTTACTGATGCCCCAGAAGAAGATGAAACTAAAAGGTAAAGAACCCTGCACTTGTGGGTTAATCGTTCAAAAATTTTTAATTTTTCAGTGATGATTTGAACCATGAAGCATCTGTTGCAGAAAAAGAAAATGCATAATTAGAAAGCATATAAGTAACTAAGTACTTTTTAATACAACATAAATTTTATTTTCAAATACTTACCTATTACTAACTATATTTTTTATAAACCACAAAAATTGACAATCATTATTTTTTATTAAATATACCTATGTTCTTTAATTAAGTAGACTGCTAGTCGTTAAGAAATAAGCAAAGCCTAATGTGATTTTTTCATTAAAAAAGTCATTTTAAGCTTCTTTTATTTGTACTCCTAGTAATTAAGAAATAATCAAAGCTTAAGATAGTTTTCCGATAAAAATTAAGCTTCACTTATTTCTTAACGACTGGCTGTGCAAATGTACCTAAGTATTAGCTTGATTTCTATTTGTAGTATATCGTTTAGTAATCTATTGAACATTGTTTACGAACAATATTTGATGATTAATAAATTATTGGAGAAAATTCTTTTAGTGTAATTCTCGTACACGTGTGTTAATAGATTTCACAAATATTTTTTTAATAAACCATTTTTAAATATAAGCTCTATCTTTTTTATTGCCTATTATTTCAACCTTCATTTTTCCGTTATACACTTTCTGTTTGAATTAAAAAAAATCTGATGTGTCCAATACAAATAATAATAATTATAATAAATAATAATAATAATTTACCATTACTAGATAATAATACAAGTTTATAAAATATGTGCATAAAAGGTATATATCAAATTTATTATTTATATTAATTGCAAACCCCGTAAAAATGATGCGATACTGGAAATAGTGTCTACCTATTTCCCCTCATAACCCAAAAAAACGCTGTTGAATGCGGACTCTATGAAATATATATGCTCGAAGTTAACTAGAAATATTGCGAGCAATGTTAGATTTAATGCTCTTAACTGGACGAAAAATATAATAAAACTGGACTAGATTAGAACAGAATTTTTCCTTTAGATTTTAAGAAGAATTTTCCTTTAAATACCTAATGTCACCTTTTTTTTCAATATCTAATAAATTCTGAATGTGTCTGAATTTTATTCTGTTGAGAAATATTTGTTTAATTTTAGTATAATGTTTAAAAATGTTATCGTATGATAAAATGATATCAACCGATTTAAAGATATGTATGTAAACAGAAGATGTATGTATAGTTACTCATCGTCTTTTTAGTTTTATTTGGTAATTAGACAAATGATTATTTCAAATAACTACATATTTACTGTCGAAAATAATAAATGATGTGATGATTTCATAAAGCATACATTATTTTGTAATCTGCAAAAAGGTGCCAGATTCTTTAAGCATGGACACCCATACTTGCTGCAGAAAACCAATG